ATCCGCCCAGCTGCGGGAGTGACAGCTGGCTCTGCCTATCTAGAGGCAGAGCCAGCTGTACCCGCCCCCTCCCCCATCCGTTCCGCCAGTCAGCGCTGGCGGATCGGAGCGGGGAGGGGGGAATCCAGCCCCTCCCCTGTCACGGCAGAGAGCCTTGACAGGATCGAGAGGTGAGAGAACGCCGGTATGTGTTCCCTCACTTCCCGATCTACTGAGCCGACCTGTGACAGTCTCATTGTCACAGGTCGGCTAGAACTATGAGGTGAGTGGAAATCACCCCCTCCCCCCCTCATAGTTCTCCTTTAAATGGCTCTCATAGTGTCAAAACCAACTGGTGTTTGCGATTAAAAAAGAGAAAATATCCGGATCGCATTTATATTTGATTGGTGCTGATTGTTTGACCGATTTTAAATGGTCCATTTATGAAGTTCTCACTGTTATGATTTAATTTTTGAGAGATTCACTCTTTTTCACTGAGAGTATCTTGCACGTTAATTTCCATTTATTGGATTACTTTCATCATTTATATTTATTGATTGTTTTATTGATACAATTCATTTACTTCAAAGGTTATTTTGGGACCATTCTCTGTAAACCCGAGAGATGGTTGTGTATGGAAATCCCAGCAGATCAGCAGTTTCTGAAATACTCAGACCAGCCCGCCCGGCACTATCAACCACGCCACGCTCAAAGTCACTGAAATCCCCTTTTCTTCCCCATTCTCTTTTCAGAGGGGGGTGACACCAAAATGACTGTGAGTCATTTTGGTGTCACCCCTCCAATGGTGGCACCCGGGTGCGGGCCGCACCCGCCTTGTGACGCCACTGGCCAGTGAGTGTATGGTGAGAAGAAAGTGGGAAACGCCATAGTATCGCACGGGTCTCAATAATATCTTGACAGTGGCATAGAAAAGCGTTGCCGAGTCACCTTGACCCCTGTTGGTGGCTCTTCTAAGGTACTTACCAGGAAACCAACACGGGCCAAAGTTTGTGCGCATTCCGCAACGCGCGGCCCTGTGTATAAGATTGTGGTGATGCGCATGAGCGTTGAGCAAACATAGCCGCGCACGAGGAAGCTTCGGACACATTTGCTTCAATTGTAAAGTCTCCGAAGGCGCAGTTACCTTATTGCCAGTCTGATGAAGACCGAACAGAACCAGAATCTGTCCAATGAAGAGACACAGGCAGAGAGCCGTCAGGACAGAGGTGTGAGCGCTCCTTATAGACCGGCACATGGTGAAGGTGAGCAGAGACAGACACAGGCAGACGAGGGACACACTCAGGCCAATGCGAGAGATCAGAATGAGGCCACCATCCTCCTGTAGATGAGAGGGATGTAACATTAGTGGGGAGGTCCAATCTACAAGTGACTTGGCTTTTACATGCCCCTCGTGTCACATTCATTTAGTACGCAGCCTTTGTTCTATAACTCACTTCTGTGCCCTGATTGGCAGGGGAGGTAACATTCACAGGTCTCCTTCCCACCCTTTGATTGGCCCGTGAAAAGAGAAGGAGCAGAGTCATATGCTTATCTATTTGTCACTCACTCTTCTCTCTCCTTCTATCAGCATTTTCTGCACTGAAGCACACCTGATTGGCTCCTTGTGCTGCTTCTCCTTTCACTCTGAGCTCTGCTGTACATGAAGGTAAGCTTCTACTTTCAATGTCCAATCACAGTTTGGGGGTGGGAAGGAGACTTTTGGGTTTTACCTCCCCTGGCGGTCATGGCTGTGCTAGGTGGCATATCTATGTAAATCTCAGGACTGAATGGACAGAAAATCTGTTGGCAGGTTAAACAGCTCCAATATGTGTATGTAGCTCTTTGCCTGGAGTCCAGCTTCCGTGGCTGAGTTTACCTGGTCCAGGGGTAGGCAACCTCGGCTCTCCAGCTGTGCTGAAAGTACAAGGCATTGCAAGCCACAGGAATGACTCCCAGAGGCAGAAGCATGATGGAATTTGTAGTTTCAGCAAAGCTGGAGAGCCAAGGTTGCCCACCCCTGACCCAGACCATGCTCAAGGGTTGCAGATCTCAAGGCATGGGGAGAACATTGTATGTTAATGCACATTAAAAAGAGAACCTGTCCCTCGGTCTGTCCCCTTATCTGGACATCTATTCTAGGCCATAACAGCTTGCCTATAGTGTCCTATGTATGATCCTGATCCACAAAATTGCTAAAAGGTAAGACATAGTTTTTCTTAGGGGTGCACCGATACCGTTTTTTCTGTATCGAGTACCGATATTTATATTTCGGTACTCGCCGATGCCGAGTACCGATACCGGTACTTCCGGTAGCATAGAGCAGGCTTCCCGGCCAATCGGGGAGCCAGGAGGCGTGTCATTACCCACCGCCCGGGTTCTTGATTGCCCGGGAAAGCCGACTCCATTCTTTTTAAAACGGCTCAATGCTGGTTGGCCGGGAATCCGGTTTCCCGGCCAATCAGCAGTGTGTATTACAATTTACATCACCTGGATGTCACTGAGTGCCATGAGGACAGCGAAGGTGGACAGGTGGTTGCAGATGCAGAGAGTGCTGTTCTCTCTGTCGGCCATCTTGGTCTCGCATCCTCGGCTTGACCAAACCCTTTCCTCTGTGTCCCAGAACACACATCGGACGATGAAGGAAGGAGGAACGACCTGCAGGTGGAATAAAGATTGATGATATAGTACATTCAGTCTACAATAAATCATGAGTGTAGTTTAGTGGTGGCATGGCCTCTTCCTAGAGACAGGGCAGCCATCAGAAATTTTGGGGCCCCTTACACGGCTTTAGGCTGGGCCCCCCCGCGCCGCTGGACGCAGGGCTTAGTGGCGCGCTGGACGCAGGGCTTAGTGACGCGCTGGACACAGGACCCACCTGAGAGTGACCCTGCAGAGCCCACCATAGATGCTGCACAGCCCATCTGAGACTGTCTATGGTGGGCTCTGAAGGGGTCTCAGGTGGGCTGGTCAGGGCTGCATCCCTCCCCTCCCTCCTTTCCTTCCTTCCTTCCTAGCTCCTCTTACCTGCACACATGGCCTCGTCTGCCGCCGGACAAGCCAGAAGTGATGTCACGTCACTAACGTGACATCACTTCCGGCCAGTCCGACATCAGACGAGCAGCGTCGCTGATGGGGCCCTAGCTTGTCTTAAAGCCGCTGGAGCGGCAATGCTGGGGCCCTGCGCTGCTAGGGCCAGGCCTCCGCCTCCTCGCCCTTCATTGTTGGCCGATAGTCATGTAAGGGACCCGGGCGGGCCCCCCAGGCTGACCGGGCCCCTTACATGAATATCGGCCGTACCCCCCTAATGGCTGCCCTGCCTAGAGATGTCGGCTTGCAAGCTGTGTAGCCAGAACCTTCCGGGGGAATTCATGGACTACAATCTCATGTCTAGTTTACTCATTTGTATTGAAGTTATAGTCTATCACAGGAGCATGCTGGACCGGTGGCTCCTATTCAACACACACAGGGACCATGGGGAACACGAGTAGAAAGGACAGTGTCAGGCACCAATTCAGAGATGATTGGAGGATCTACAGCTTTAACTACGTCATGTTAGGAGTAAGATTAGGTTTGGGGTTAGTGTTTGAGTTATATATAGACATAGGGGACAATAATTCTGTACACCTTTCACAGTCCAAATCTCATGTCAAAACTCTATCATCAAAAGACCATGGGCAATGTGAGAAGCCCAGAAGCTGCATAGTAGCCACAGGGCTGGCAATGGCGCATATTCCAATACTTCACTGTATGCCGGTCCAGCATCGGGCTGGTGTCTTTTTTTTTTTAAAGAACAGCAGATGAAAAAAGAAAGTGAAGACCCAAAGATCCCAGCCTGACATTGATTTACTGTCGGGACTTCTCTATCTCATTGCGCAGAGGTCCCATTACATACCAGGGCAAGAGGTTTATATGAAGCATGCTTTCCTTTCATTGGGAGCAGATAAGTGTCTACTCCACACCCCTGTAGTGTTATGATGCGTCACCTGCCCTCCTTACAGCGATTGGACCTTGATTAGTGGTCGTGGTGCTCGTAGCGATTGCACGGACGGCGCCGTGTTTTCCAAAATCGTAAAGACGGAGATCAGCAGCACTCAGACCAAAGCATTCAATTATTTTGCTTATTTATTGAAGAAACATGTCACAAGTGTCAACTAGCCATCATTTCGGGGTCCCTTCTTCAAGGCGACATAGTGACCCACATAGTGACATAGGTCACTATGTCGTCTTAAAGGAGAACTATGAGGTGAGTGCTTTTCACTCCCCTCATAGTTCTAGCTGACCTGTGACAATGAGACGGTCACAGGTCGGCTCAGTAGATCGGGAGGTGAGCGAACACATACCGGCGTTCGCTCACCTCTCGATCCTGTCACGGCTCTCTGCTGTGACAGGGGGAGGGGCTGGATTCCCCCCTCCCCGCTCCGATAGCGCTGACCGGCGGAATGGACGGGGGGAGGGGGCGGGTACAGCTGTCAGTCACGCAGCTGGGCGGATCCCGGCACAATTGTCGGGATCCGCTTCAGCTGCGGCTTCTCAGTATATAGAGAGCTACAGCTGGCGGTATACTGAGCTTAGGGTGACGGGAGAACGCTAGTTTGTGTCCTCCCGTTACCCTAAGGAGAACTATGGGGAAAAGCCTTAAGCCCATAGTTCTCCTTTTAAAGTAGGGACCCTGCGTGGCCCCGAAATGATGGCTAGTTGACACTTGTGACATGTTTTTTCAATAAATAAGCAAAATAATTGAATGCTTTGGTCTGAGTGCTGGAGATCTCCGTCACTCTGAGCACCACGGCCACTAATCAAGGTCCAATCGCTGTAAGGAGGGCAGGTGACGCATCATAACACTACAGGGGTGTGGAGTAGACACTTATCTGCTTCCAATGAAAGCAAAGCATGCTTCATATAAACCTCTTGCCCTGGTAATATAATGCACCCTCTGCGCAATGAGATACAGAAGTCCCGACAGCAAATCAATGTCAGGCTGGGATCCTTGGGCAAGGTCTACACTTTATTTTTTCGTCTGCAATTCTTTAAAAAAAAAAAAAAGACACCAGCCCGATACTGGACCGGCATACAGTGAAGTATTGTTTCCCCGAAAGTAAGACCTAGCGCTATCTTCAGGGATTTCTGTAACATAAGACCTACCCCGAAAATAAGACCTAGCAGCTTCTGGGCTTCTCACATTGCCCATGGCCTTTTGATGATAGAGTTTTGACATGAGATTTGGACTGTGAAAGGTGTACAGAATCTTTGTCACCCATGTCTATATAACACCGATACTTGTAAAACTCAAACAAATTTCGACTGAGTGCTGGTCATCGCCGTCTTTACTCCACACCCCTGTCATCTGACCAGTTACAGTATATCTAAACCAAAGAACAAGGGTAAGATATGGCAGCTTCCAATTACTTTGGAGGTTTATCTTTTTTTTTCATGTAAAGTACGTTTGATCTTTGTCACCAGGACAGAGCAATGGGAAATCCAAAGTTTTACAGGTGTCACCGGACAAGCCAGACTTTAGAATATTTCCACTCACTTCCATCTATGTCTTTGGGGCAGGAAGAGAATGGCAATCCTCCCTAATGGGATGGGACGAGATTTTAACTGTTTCCTACTCTATTCAAAACAAAGGAGGTTTTGGCTTTGTAGTTCAAGTTTGTAAAAGAGCGAATCTTTAAAACCTAACTGCAAATTCATCCATTGGGCTGACTCTACGCGGATACCTACTACGGTGGCTTGTATTACATCTACAATAAACAAATGAAAATGGGAAGCTCCATAACGAACGTATGCCACAGTATAGCAGTAAAACTAGGGATGCTCCGATGCCTAGCACGAGTACTTCCCGTATCAGGAAGCCGGGCAGCGCATCATTACATGCTGCCCGGTTTCCTGATTGGCCAGGAAACGGCTCCATGCTCTCTCATCACTTGTGATGAGAGAGCATGGAGCCGACTTCCCAGCCAATCAGGAAGCTTGGTAGCGTGCAATGACGCGCTGCCCGGCTTCCCAATTGGTCATGAGTCTAGCAAACTCGGAAGCCGGGCGCCGTGTAATGACGCAGCACCAGGCATTCTGATTGGCCGGGAAGCCGGCGTCATGCTCCCTCGTCATCTCATGAATCATAATATTAAGAAAGTGACCTTAAAGCATTAGTTTGTATTGCTTTAGAAAAAAATGTGACCTGTCCCTTTAAGATAAAGTATCGGTAATTGGTATCTGCGAGTACTTGATCAAAAGTATCGGTACTCGTACTCGGTCTTAAAAAAGTGGTATCGGTGCATCCCTAGTAAAAACATTGTGATGCTAAAGTGCCGTAGGACACATAACTGCATGGTGGTAAAACTCCCCCAAAATGCTTCCAGAACATACAACAGATCTCCACTGTAAGCCTGTACAGCTGGCTGGTGGGAAAGGAGATAGTTTCCATTTTGTAGGAGCAAAATGAAAAGGGAAGGCTGGACAGAACCATGGACATCCACTTTTATGACCCAGGACAAATCTTTCTGTAATGGATAGTGTACATATAGTTCACAGACATCAAACTCTCTTATTTGTACAGACCTTCAGCTGTTTCAGGTAGAAGGCCACCGGGGGCTCCAGGATTTCTATATTGGGACTGGTGATGGCTCCACTGATTATGGGGGAAATAATCTCCTCTGTATCTTCTTGGTCGTTTTCTCCTAATGTCTCAAGTCCTTTATAGGAAATTAAGATTGCTCCATCTAACAATGAATAAATAAGTACATACAATAAAGACGTGAAACAGTCTGCACGCTAAGAGAACCGGCCACAAGATCTAAGAACTAAGAGAACAAGCGTGTGCAATGTACTACACACCATAGATGATGTACAGACAACCACTGCAGTCACCATAGTAGTAGTTTGGTGCCAACAGACAAATTATGGCTTTTGGATGATTGCCGTGGATTTCTGTATTTTGCATTTTTGCCTTATTGTGCTCACCCGTATCTCTGGTCACATGTGTACATGGCACGCTCATGATGTTATCCAGGACAGTCAGGGTTATGGACGGGGCTCCCGTACCACATACATCTCTGGAAACCTTCGTCTGAACCTCTGCAGTAGAGAAAAAGGATCACACACAGATTGTACAAGTAAAACTGACATATGAGATGCTCAGTACTTCCTTACACATTGAAATGCATGACTGCTGGAGCATACAATATTTTAGCTTGGCACATACTGTATCATTCGGTCAAGTGTGCCACCTCACTAGTTTTGATCGTGGAGGGAGGGATAATGTGAGCTGACTGTGTAGCTAGCGGGTACAGGCCTCAGGATTAGGGTTGCCACCTTTTCTTCAAGTGAACCCCGAACACTCTAGCAACGTGCAGATATTTTTTTTGGGAGAATGAGCCACGGCTTATTCAGATGTAAATAGCGCCACCCATTCATATGTACAATATCACAGTCGAGAGTATTTTCAGTGGGGGGCCAGTAGCCCCTATATTCATTTTGGTTGCCCCTGTCTGCCTGCCTGGCATCTTGTGTCTGGGTTTCTGCTGCCATGAAACCCGGACAAAGCATTCAAATCCCGAACTGTCCGGGTGAATCCTGGACAGGTGGCAACCCTACTCAGGATGCTAGCTGGACCAGTGGGAACAGAGGCAGAACTGAGGACCATGAGGCAGAAATGGGAGGCAGAATGTTAGCTAGGCATGGATGAGGGGGTGGTGGGGGTAGGGGAGGCAGAATGATAACTGGATGTTCACTAGGAGGACAATATGTGGCAGAGTAAAAGCTGATCATAATGGAGGAGGAGGACAGAGAAAAGCAACAGCTGACCTTGGAGTATTGAGAGAATCAGATAAGACAGGAGTAGGAGCTGCCCGAGGAAGGAAGATAGAGTGAGAGAGGGCAGAAAATAGAGGATTATGGATAGGCAGAGAGGAGGTAGAAGATGACTTAAAGGAGAACTATGGGGGTCAGGGCTTTTCCCCATAGTTCTCCTTAGGGTAACGGGAGGACACAAACTAGTGTCCTCCCATCACCCTAGGCTCAGTATACCACGAGCTGTAGCTCGCGGTATACTAAGATGCCGCAGCTGAAGCGGATCCCGACAATTATGTCTGGATCCGCCCAGCTGCGTGAGTGACAGCTGGCTCTGCCTATCTAGGGACAGAGCCAGCTGTACCCACCCCGCTCCCCCGTCCATTCTGCCAGAGCCGTGACAGGATCGAGAGGTGAGCGAGCGCCGGTATGTGTTCGCTCACCTCCCGATCTACTGAGCCGACTTGTGACAGTCTCATTGTCACAGGTCGGCTAGAACTATGAGGTGAGTGAAAAGCACCCCCCCCCCCCATCGTTCCCTTTAAAC